AAATCACTGTTTTTGGTGTGAAAGGGTGGCCCGAAAGGGGGGTGGCCCGAAAGTAGGGTAGTTGACTTACCACGAACTTGAAATATCTTACCCCCACTGCTGAGTCGTCCGATATCTCACCAGAGTAGTGCGAGCGCTGGTTTGCTTTCTTACAGACAATCCAAGGACAAGAATTCTTACAAGCATGTTATGAGGAACGCGAAAAGCGCAAACGTATCAATAAACCAAACTCCATTCACGGGAAACTGATGAAACTATCCGAGTTTAAGAAATATCATGAATGGGAAGCACACAAACGAGATATATTCTTCTATTATATGCGAAATTTAAGTTCCGCCGGCATATTACGAGAAATTACTGCTGCAGGTTATCGATTCTCAAGTCATTCGTAAGTGCAATTCAATTGATCCTTACAGACAATGATTAACGTATGCAACAGACCTCGAACAACGTGTGATAACAAATTAGAAGCATGGGGCTGCCTTCTAAATCCACAATTCAGACAAATATTCATGAGTCGATTGCAGCAAGAAGCTGCTGCCTAGGAGAGCAAAATGCAAGCTGAACTTATCCAGAAAGGCTTCCTGGTTGCATCTGGTGTGCAAAGCCTAGATGCTAACGTGGACCTAATCTATTATTCCCCGGATGCGTTGGACACCCCAATTGAATTTGAAGACTCGCCAACTCTTGGGTTAATCAGAGGAAAGACATTGACTGATGGCATAGAACCACTTGATGGGAGATTCCCCGTCCACCATAACACAAGGCTCTCCGCTGCTCTGTCATCGTAGATATGTTCCGTCGAGCGCTTTCAAGGAACCTACCAACGAGCATATTCAAAATAGTGCTACCTTCCCTCCTTCTGCGAGTTCGTTCACTTCTCACGAAGCTGTCAATTGGGAATGGCATCCAAGAACAAAAGAACACTTGTTGCAACACACCAAGAAATCAATGATAACATACGTGAGGGACAGGAGATCGCTGCGATGGAGACCTTGAGATGGTCGATCGAAGACCGGAAAGCCCGGATCAAGCTTATTACCAGCTCTATGATGCCAATGCCATGATTCCATCTAATGAAATGGACTCTCTTCTGCGGAAGAAGCTAGATCCTCCACGCCGACCATTCATACTACATATGATTTCTCGCAGAAATGATCACATGAATGGTGTAGTCGGCAAGAGAGATGTATGCGATTGTGGCGTAATAACTCAAATTTACGCTGTGGGATGTGCATGATCGATTTGCTGGACCCATCATGTTCTCGCAATATTAGGGCATGTGGTCAACAAAGACGAACTTGATGGAGCAGGGGATACTCCATTTCACTGCGTAGCAGCCGCCGGACGAAAGGAAGTCCTTGAATAGATGATGGCATCAGGTATCAATCCCACAAAATGAACGCAATTCGCCAAAGCTTCCTACATGTTTTGGACGCCAGTCGTTTTAGTGATGATCTGATCAACTTCCTTGAACTATTCAAGGATGGTGGTCTACTAGAGCAGCGCGACCATAATGGCCAAACAGTGCTACATAGTCTTCTTCGAAATCCAATACTCCCTCATGTGTACCATGACCTGGTAGAATTCTACGGGCCAGACAGCAATACAATTTTCGCTTCGGGACAATCAAGGTCTTAGTGCAGCACAGCATATACGAAACGTTGCTCAAGCTCAAAATCCTTATGCATCATATGGCCATGTCGGCCACGCCCAAGCTATAGTAGTCTATGGAAATATCGCCAATCAATTCATTGCGCAAACAGAAATCCCCGGCAATTTTATCGAAGAAACACAAAATCGTGTCGCTGTCCTTGTAAGTTCTAATCCCAACGTGGTAGAATCCATCCCGAATGCCGAAGATAGTACGGGTAGTAACACTCTTCATTGTTTGGTCCTACCACCCTGAACCATACTGCACTCTTGAAAATACCGAACGGCGTCTCGATAAACTCAAGCAATACATTTTCTTCGGAGCAGATGTCAACCACTAAGATCAAGCGGGCAGAACTCCCCTTCTCGCAACCATCCTTGAATCTATCTCCCTCACCAACGAGTCCGCCACCAAAGAGATCGTCGAACTACTTTGCCGAAGTGGCGCTAATATACATCAGAAAGATCGAGACGGACACACTGCACTATATCACGCCATACGCAAAGGCTATTGTGACTGTGTCGCCATTCTACTTCAACACGGAGCTCATGTGAGTTTCCGTGCACTTACTAGACGTAGTTATCGCATGGCTTGCGCAAGATCATCTGCAGGAACATTTGTTGGCTAAAGATCAAGAAATTTTTGATAAATTGCAGAAACAGTTGGCGGTTGTGTCGGCTTTGATTGCTTGTAAGGCTGTCTTGGAACCGACGCAGCTTCAGGCTTATGGTGTTGATCCAACTTGAAGATGGCTAACTAGAATGAGGAACTATTTTTATGGTTATAGTTGATGTTTTAGCGAGCCGGATCATACAATTGGCCCAAGCCCATCAAAGTGAATAATACTTGACGGGCATTTGGACCTCACTACTCGTATACATGGGGTCGTTAAGTTAAGCAGGGTCAATAGAATCTTCAACTTGAGTAAACTCAGGTAATATACTCATTGATTTACGATCCGCCGAGAAATACATTCACATATAATATAGATACTCGTATATACACAAGTACTATGAGTCTATGACTATGGGAGGTTACTATTACATCGATGAAAATAAATCAACTGGACTCGGAAGAACCCATCTGAAAGAACATAAGACGATATTGCTTGATGCAACTTTACTGTACTTTACTTTTACTTTCTACCCTAATCGTAGTAATAATCTACTTATACGAATAAGTAGTATGAGGCATGAGACATGAATTACAACGAGCAGACGAATTGGTTTCCCATCCCATCCCATCCTATCCATTCCATTCTATCAAACACCACACACCCACACAAGCAAGCAAGGAAGCAAACAAGCCTCCATTAAATCCCAGTCTTGAGCTCATCAATAAAATGACTACCCTCCCTATTCTCAGCTTCCCTTCCCTTCCTTTCCTTACCTAGGTATTTTCCCTTCTTTTCTTAATCCAGGATAAACCATACACCCACCACCCACCACGCTCAAAATCAACAATCACTCACTCACTCACTCACTCATTAAACCCATACTATAATATTTATAATGATTGAATTTAATTCTATTCATCTGTAATACTAACGTACGTATGTATGTTATATAGTAGGTAAACCATGCCACCGCCTACATACATCCAAGCACAGAAGACAGCACCATCCCATTCTCAATACTCATGATCTCGTAATAATTTTGTAAAAAAACCGCAGACAAACAATCAAGACAAGCAACACACAAACATTACTCCATACCCCGATCCCAAACCCATCCTTAGAGCAAGACAAGTTCAAAAAAGCCTCCAATTTCCCAGTAGCCCCCACCCTACTCCTCCCCACACTCCACTTGCAATATATCCATCCAACCCATAGCCATCCTCATCATTAAAGCCCAAGCAGAAGCGTGGGGATAAGATGAACACAACCCCAATGTAACTCCATTTAATAGACAAGAAAAGCAACGTGTAAATGCCAAAAGAGACCAAAAGAAGCCTGACATTAGACTCAACATACGGCACTAGCAGACGACAGGGTCTAATTCGATAACGCCACACACCCTTTTCCACATTTGCTTCAAATATGCTGTAACAACAACATGGACGCCAGAACCCTAGAATGCATGTCGAAGGTACTATACAGTACAGAGATTGTTTTTGCATCTTTAAATCGTTTACAAGCCGGAGACTTTGCGAGTGCTGATACTGCCAACTCTCCCGCTGGTTTTGCGAACTGCTCCAGTAGTTTCTTTATTTCGAAGACTGTCACCACTGCGTTTCGGGCTGCCACGAACTTTTACAAGTGAGCCGCTACCGGATTTGATGGTAGAAGGTGTTTTAGGTCGAGCTCCCGAACTAATATTCTCAACATCATAGCTACTGTCATCGATAGATGAATAGATTGTTGTAGTAGTTTGGCTTATCGATCTTCCTGACCTCTCGCTTCGGGTTGGGGATCGGGATGCTTTACGGCTAGTACGCACGCGAACTTGCCAATCTTCCTCAGATTCGGTAGTATCAGTCGATGATCGATGGATAGAGATCACTTCTGTTTCACGATGTGTATTATCGTCTTCCGTGGAACTGTAAGCTGAAGCATGACGTCCATATGGATGGTGGCGATCAATTCTGCTTGTCTTTCTTGGTTGACCTGGTGTTGGTGCAGGCAAGTAATCCTCTTGAGCTCCAATGCTATGACTTCTCTCATTGTCCACTTCGCCAAGTGGGGTTCTTTGATTGGCATTGGGAGGAGTAACAATTTGACTTTTGGTTGAGAAATGACCCTTTCTTGGTGTGATTGGGGCAATCTTGGCGAGCTTCTCCTTCATCTTCAACTCAAATTGCTCTTCAATCCACCACTCTCGGAAAGTCCCCTGGTTGAGATGGAGCCAATGTTGTTGAGGACCAACAACCATTCCAGGTCTCATGAAGCGCATGTACGCGATGATCTCGTTGGCCGTGAAACCATATCGGTAGATCAAATATGCCCCAATTAGACATCCTGTTCGTCCAAGTCCAGCTTTGCAATGCACAGCAATTCCTCTCTTCTGAACAGTAATCATCTCATGTGCTAAAGTAATGAATTTTCGGACAACACTAAGTGGTGGACACGTGCCATCATCAAAGATCATATCCAAATGCTCAATACCCAGGGCCGTGAAATAAGATGGAGAGTATAATTCCGAGTTCAAACGAACCACTAAGCCAATGTTCCGTGATGTAAAATGTTTCAAAACATTCTTGAAAGGTGTGGGTAAGGTTGGGTGGGTATCCACATCTTCCAAAGTTGTTGGCAAAGTCGAATATAGTGGAGAAGAAGAAAGTATTGGTTGCACTGGGTGATGCTGTGGAGAAGCGAAGGCCAGGAAGTCGGGAGTCAACCAATTAAAGTCACCCTGATCCACACGCTCATATCTTTCATACTCCTCGAGATCGAATTGCGGCAGAGCGCAAAATCCTTGTTCCTTTGCGCGCCAGACACCGTATACAACGTCTTGAACCGTAATACCATAGTCTGCTTGACTGTATCCTGCATCGCGGAAAGGCATCAAAGGTGGGTCTGCTTGGGCGATTGGCGCAAGCGCGAGATGTGGTGCCCACGATTGGATCAAGACCATATACGTGGCTAAGAGACATGCAGCGTTGGCTCGACCTAAGTCACTCAATATTAGCTTTTGCAACCAGCGAAACTTTATGAAACAGATGAGCTTACTGCGCGCATCCGCTTTACTCCAGAATACCACAGGTCTGTTTTTGTTTTCCGGGGCGCCAAGGATGTCGTGGAATTGAACCGCAAATCTGTAAAGATGTCCAATGTGTAATGGTCCGAAGTCATGATGAAAGGCATTATATAGAAGGGTGTCATCGACGGAGAAATAATGAGGTGGTTTTTGATTTTTGTCTGAAACGACTGAAGGTCCTTCTGCAGCTCTTGCTGACCGCTTTGTCGGAGATCGTCGAGAGCTCTGTTGTTCAGGGTAAGGGAAGAGAGTATCAGACGAAGGAGGTGTAGTGTAAGATGCTAAGTACAATCGGTCTGTATATGTTAGCCAGTGAAACGGTTTATCCTGTTCCCGAGGTTGTTTTGGTCCCTTCTTTGCGCAGGCGACAGTATAACTATCATTGGGTAGTAATGTTGCCCACGCGAGCATAGAATTGTAGTCCATGGGATGCATGATATCAATAATATAATGATACTGAGCCGATAGTACTCAATGGTTCGCGCCGCGCAGTGAGTGATGTTTTTTTTGATGATATTGTAATTGTAAATAGAATAACAAACATACCTGGAATGTACTCAATGATTTGCCCATACTTCAATTTAGAGGAAGGAGGCATCGTGGAATAAGGTACGCAAAGGCACCGAGTATTTTGGCAGTCGCGAAGCTCGAATTTGTAAGATATAGAGTTGATGAAAAGGTATATTGTGATTATAGGCAAGTGCGATATTGGTGGTGGTAGTGTGTTGGTGAATAACTTGAAGGCTTGAGGTATCTTTTGTTGTTGTTGATAAATATTCAACTTGTGTAGTGAATGTATTTGTTATTTCTTAAAAGGCGACAAAAGTCAACAGAGATAGAGATGTATTATTGTATAAAATAAAATCTCAATGACAACTTGAATGTAAAGCGACTTGAAGGTAGTAAAGGTTTTTAAGTAAAAGAAAGAAGGATTATGGATTTTGTATGTAGGTATATAACAAGATGTACCAAGTAACTCGTATGGGATAATATGTGATTGTGGTTAGTCTGTTTATAGTAATTATGCTGACCCAGCAACCAAATGACCAGCATTGCATTATCATAACAATCAAAATAAATCATTTAGAGTTCAGACGAAAGAAAGAGAAGCGAGAGATGAAAGATTACCGGTATATTTAAGAAAAAATAGTTTGAAATAAAGATTGATCTTGATAGAGTAACGGTAATGAAGAATATATACCCTACTTACTCACTTCCATCATCAACAAAACTTCACTCTCTCTAATAAACCTGAACCTCACGTACCCCTCTCCCTTCCCTGCATCTTCATCCCATCCAATCCCCCCTGAACAGCGAACCCTCAAACCCCTTTAGAAAAAGCAAGCCGAATTTTGACAGCATCTTCACCAAAACAACAAACTTCACTATATATAATCTACGAGTACTCGAGTAGAGTATAAATGGTATAAATCTAGTATTTCGACTCTCTACTCTCTATATAACATAACATAACATCACCTACAAATCCACATCATAGCAATCAATACTTATACTTACAGATTTCTCCTAAATCCTTAAATAAAACTAAACAACTAATTACTAGGTAATTAATTGATATAAGATCGAATTGCGGTCAAAAAGTAAACAATGCAACTATAAATTCTGACAACCGGCTCATTCTCGGGATCGCAACCCAATCTCTCCATCTTCCTCCCCTCCCCTCCCTTCCAAATCAATGCGCAACACTTTTTGATCCTCCATACATACGGACTACCTACATACACAATATACAATCCACGGTTCTCTCTCCCAAACCCAAACATCAACAATAATAATGGCGACCACAGAATTGGAATTTCCATGTTCTCTGTACGATCCCCCCTCTTCCTTCCATCTCTCCCTAATCCTACTACCATCCCCTCCATCCATCCCACTGACCCCCTCTCTCCCCCAACAGTACCCTCGACATACCCCTCCCCACCCCACGCCTCGCATCCGCCGCCCTCTCCGCCCTATCCGTCGACGCCGAGCTCTCCCCCCTCGTCCAGCGCACATTTTCCCTCATATCCCCCCCATCTGCCCTCACCTCGTCCTCCTCTCCTCAAACCAGCATCCTCCGCACCACCTACCTCGCCACCACAAATCGCATGTTACGCGTTGCCGTCAACGGATTCATGGAGAGTGTAAGCGTTGTGCTGGGGGTCATGGAGGAGTTAGATGTTGATGTTTTGGAGGGCGCGATTGAGGATGAGGATGAGGAAGTGGGTTCATGAAGAATTATGGTTTTAAGATTTGAGATTTGTTAGGATTCTTTGCGAACTTTTGGGGTCGGAGGGGAACATATACATTTATGAAAATGTGCATGAACCGATAGATATACGAGGGAAGAAGGGAATAAAAGGAGATGGGGGAGGGGAAAAGAAGGAAGGAAGAAGAAGGACGAGGAAGCTGGTATAGGATATGGAAGCTCAGGATTGAGGTCATATGATGTGGTATGATATGAAAGATCTACCTGCGCCCCGACATCTATCTGTCTATCGCAAGGCATCCAAAAACATGGTTTGAGCCATCCATGTATCAACGAGACAACATCAGAAGGGATACCTAGGTGTATATCGAGATATCGCGCCTCATGATGGTATATAGGGAGGGCATCAAGTCTATACACACACACATACACACTCGAGATATCGAAGCAGGTGCTGCTACTTCTCTCGTACCATACATACATACATACATCAAATTAACATATACGAGTAAAACATATAAATATATAAACATATAAATGTATTCCCCAAAATACATCCACCCCATTATCCATCCATGCAGTATCGATCGAAAGCTAAAAAGCATGCATTCTCTACCATTCCACCTACCTGCCTATCTTCTATCAACACTCCAGCAAAAAGCAGTCAAGCGCAATCATAGAATACGAGTAGTTAGTTCCGATTAACATCATTAACATACATATTTTAAAACACGCCTTTAATTTGATTGGCTTTCAAAAAATATATAAGATCTATACAAGAACATCAAACTCAAGAAAAGAGGTTTTGTCGATATACTTAAATATTATTACAAACAGGATATTATTAAATTAGTATATTCTGTTTTTCTGATTGTAAGCTTTTTAAAAAAAAAAAATTGTATTTATATGATTAATATTTGTTGAGTAAATAATTATTGAAGTATTCTGAAAAATTATAAATTGAAAAGTACTGGAATTTCGATAAATATGATTCTGATTGGATCTCTTCATTATTAATCAGAATTCAATATACAAACCACCTCTTCAAAACTCTGAATAACTTCAAAGTTTTATCAATAGTAGTATATTGTCAACAATACATCAGTCCCCCGAGCCTAAAGCAAGGATAGGGACAGATTGCATCGTACTACCTATTAATACTATATTGATTATATTCAGATTCAGAATTCACTTTAGTCTAAAGCTTAATGCTACCCCTTTCAAAATTCAAGAAAATTATCTGAATAGCTTCAAAATTTATATTTATATTGAATACATATAGCTACACAGTACGAGTGAAGGTGGAGGCCTCTTTAGGCCTCATAGGCCCTGAAGGGGCCGGAGCCAAGCTCGTCTCTCATGTTATAAAATACATAATATCTACAATAAATAACCATCACTAATCCCATCTACCCATCTACCCATCTACCCATCATCAACAAGCTACAGGTAGCATCTGAAAATACAACACAATCAACCGACAAACAAAGACCAGCATCTAATAATCATGACAATACCTATGTATCAAATGAGTAATACCTAACCAAGTATGTGCTATATATCAAGTAGGATACCCACGAACGACTCCACCCTGCATTACCACCCCGCCATTAATAAACTTTTATGTACCTCCCCTCTTCTGAATCCTCCCATCAGCCGTAAAATCAAAAGCGTCGTGCTCAGGTATCATTGAACTCCGTTTCATGGACCATAATCCCAAATTTTGCCTCCCAGAATAAAAGAAAACAAAGTGAGAATTATTCACCCCAAGATTAAACTCGTAGAACCTCCTTTTCTACGAGCTTCGGTTCAGCTTCCTCGGCTCTTTTGTTCGCCTCAGCCAGAACCTTTTCCAAGTGACGAATGTAATCGATGGCAACTTCAACTGTAGCAGCTTTACTATTTGCGCTTTGCCCGCCTTTGGAGCTTGCGGGCTCGTTCTCTCCAGCATCACCACTACCACTCTTGTCTCCTGTAGATTCTTTGGGTTTTCCTCGAGGATAGTATTCAGAAGGAATCATATCATGCAATGTTGTCAGTGCTGTGTTGATTCTGTTTCGTCTTCCTTGCTCGGCAAGCTTATGAGAAGTGCGCTTTGATGTCAAATTAGTGGATAATTCCGAAGGATACGAAACACCAGGAAGATGAGTGCCTTCGAGTATGTTTTGGTAATTCGACTTCGATGTGAGTAAGAAGGAAGCAGTTGCGTCATCGTGCATGGATGAACCACTGGGAAGTAATGGTTTTATACTAGGAGATATCTTTGGGAGAAGGGCTGGCGAAGCAAGAACGGAAGTGCTCGCCCTCTTCTTGGAACCCCGTGCCAGGGTTTGTGGCGTCCTGCGTGCGGCTCCAACTGCTCCGCCCATGGCATCTATCTGGGGACTTTGACTAGCGGATGCTGCTACTCCAGGACGTGCAACTCCTGGTGAAGGTAAAGGTTGAAACCCGGGAGTTTTGGATCCTGTCGAGCTCAAAGTTGGGGTCATTTGCCCATCAGACTGTGTATCAATACGAGACAATGTAGGTCTTGTGGTAGTCGCAGCTTCTGGTAATACAAAAACGTCCAAAGCAGGATCATCAATTTCCATTTCCTGGCTCAGCATCGACTCAGGAGCAGTAGGAGATTTTGTGATTCTCATCAGTGAAGCTGGCGTGGCAGGTGACCCAAGAGGAAGCCGTTTATTTTTGGCATTTTCCTTTTGTGCCACAATATAGGGAGATCTTCCAGCAGAGCTCGGTAATGGTGGAGGCGCCATATCTGATAGGTGCTCAGGAGATATTGAGCCATTCTCAGAATGATCAGTACTTGCTGCCGAATTTGTTGACCCAGTTTCTTTAGGCTGAAACGTTTGAGGATTTGAAGGCTCAACAATTTCAACCAGAGCTTGAGCACTCATGCTTATGCTTTTTCTACCTCGACTTGGCTTCACAATTGGCGATTGTCTAACTGCACGAGTGTTGATTCGAGGTTTTGGTGCCACAGACTTCCGGGTAGGCTTTCGATGTGGGATCACAGAACTTGCTGGCGCAGAATGTGAATCACCATTCATGTCAATTGGGGATTTCGTTGATCCCGAATGACGATGGTCGAATGTAATTTGATGGTCGTTCTGGGCGTGTAAAGCTGGGGAGCTCAAAGGACTAAAATAAGCTCCAGAGACAGTGTAATCAGGGATGTTGAAGTGGGTTTCCAAAGGAGTGACAGCTGGTGATACGAGTGGAGTGAAAGCCATCTAATGATTCAGATTAGCATTTATTCCTGCAAAGCTTGAAATGTGTAATCATTGGACAGGAAAATCAAAATGAGATTCAACGAGACTAACCTCTTGCTCCCTCAGACGATAGGGCTCGTATACAGATGGCGGCTGCTCCGCTTGAGTATAGTAATGTTGACTAGCCCCATGTATATCCATACTATTTGGCGTTGGCGGAATCATTCTATTCTGAGCATAAAAGTTCCGATGTTGTTCCTCCGATTGGCGAAGTTGCTGCTGGCGCTTCTGCTGTTGTAAATACTGAATTTGCGCATCCAATTCCGTCAAACTCTCTGTAGATGTATGTGGATGTACGATTGGAGTTCCGAGTATAGCTGAATGGCTAGAAGTTGTTGTCATTGGCGGCATGTGCTCTTGCATTGTCCCATCATGCTCCATTTGATGATTGACTGCCATTCCCGTATTCATTGAGCCCATCCCATCTTGATGCATCATCTGCTGATTGTGCGATTGTTGCTGATTAAAATCGAAGTCGAATTGTAGTGTATCTGCCATATTTTGCAGATTCAGATCAAATAATTGCTGAAAGTCATCTTGCGAATGGACGGACAAGGTAGGGTCCTGAGTCCAAACCCCCGAAGTATCCATGATTGCGATCAATTTATAGGTTCCACCAAGTTTTGTGTATTTGTATGTCTTGGTTGTACGACAAATGGTCGCAAACTAACTGAGGGGTAGCGCTGCGAATATGCGCCGTGCGCGATTTGTTGAAATCCGATCAAACGAGAGTGCGAGTTGTGTTGGCTATATCACTCCATAGATGAGGTCTGTCGGGGGACTTTTGAGCTTGAGCTTCAGAAGCTCAACGTTGAATTAGGTGACGGCTTTGTATGCGCAATCGCTTTGTATTGAATCCTTCTCTTTCTCTTTCTCTTTCTCTTTCTTTCGTGATGAAGGGAACCAGACGACAATAAAATAAATAAGAACGTTGGTCTAAAGAATCTTGTGCTCGCGGAAAGGATGTGGATCTTGTCCTCATAAATTGTACCCGCAAGTTCAGTCGGTCGTCGTTGCGACCCCGTACTAATTTAGGGTTTTTTTTCCACCTAGAGATTTCAAACGTGTTAATGTCCCTCTTATCATGTGGAAGTGACTTTGTTATTTATGTAATGAGGCCGTGCGAACTTTCTTCCGGTAGAGTAACCAAGGTAAGGGTACTCGGAAAATATACTCGAGTTAATGTACTGTAATAGAGTAGGTACTGTATATATGTATATATAAATGTATTTATTATTATATTGAAAGGTTGAAAAACTTTATATTTTTTCTCAACCTTATTAATGAATGACCCGCAGGTCGTATTCGGTAGTCGTCTTGGGTTATTGAAGCAAGCTACTGCGCTCTTAGGGGTGATGGGCCCTGATCTGATGGGTACTTTGAAGAGTGGGAGAGATGAAGAATGGCGGAAGCGAAGGCAAGCGGAGGTGGAATAACACCGAGTTATACTCATATCATATACTGAGTATATCATACTGTATATACTATACCTTAACACCAATATATGTTAACCATAGTCATATATCAAAACTTTTACATTATTTCTCCATGATTCCTCAGTCTCATCCTTCATCCTCACCCTCATCATCGTGATGCATTTCATTTCAAGGAAGATGCGCGAAGATGCGCGGGGCAACCATCGGATAGAATATACTTAGCATCAGCTGGACCATTCACATCTCATCGACACGGAACAAGATGGTGTTGTGTGACCATAAACCCTACCCCCCCCCCCCCCCCCACGCTCCACGTTCATAAACCAATCATATTAGCTAGCGGAAAGTATGGAGGAGGGGTATCTGTCCCTTGGATCTGTTTGTATGAAATCTTTTGATACAGTACTTCAGGAGACGAATCTTTATTCTTTTCCTTTTAGATCAACACTTAAATCTTGTATCACAATCGCAACAGGAGCATCTATTTACTCGAGTATATCGTTATGCCATATGAGGTGTAATCCCGGATGGATCCAGTTCTTCTTGGCAGTGATGATAATATTAACATCTGCTCTCCAAAATCCTGTTCAGGATATACATAGCTTAGAGGTATGTGCAAGTAGATACAGATACCAGAACAACTTAGCAGAGATCGGCATGCCTCTACCGAAATCTAGAATCAGTGGAGACTTCCGATCCTCAAACCCCCTCTACTGTATGCATGCATCCAAAGCTAAGCGAGCCCCCAATGCAGTGACACACCCAACGAGAAATATGCCCCCCTCCCACACTCCCCAAAAAGGAATCCCATACAAGACCCAGCATTACCACCCCATCAATCCAATTAGAATGAGTTCCCCAAACACAGTTATCCAAGACAATAGTGTGCCGTATATATGTAAGATCCTACGAGCTTAAGCCTTAAGGGTATAGTAAACCTCAAAAGCTTGCTTTTGAGAGACGTTTAGGTATGCATTAGATGTCCGTGGGTGAGTAGGTAACCAACTAACGAGAAACACCGACAATTAGGGGATACTCGAGTACTTTTCACGAGTACTCCATCTTTTCATCGGTTTACATCCAATGTGACATTTTTAGCTCTACCTTAATCCTACAATACAGTATCATCCAACAGAGGGATATAGATAGATACATATGGATATCAATGTCCATAATTACTATTTAAAACACCACAATACCACTTAAAAATATCACCTCAATATAAATCAACCCCAAAAACCTAGCATGGAAAACCAACTCTTCTGCCCTAACAACCGTGACTCTCCCTTCCCATCACATGCCCATCACGTCGTCTCTTGATATGGATTTCCAAAAGCTATATATCTCCACAATCGTCAGCCATTTCACATTCCTGCTCTCAAGATTTTCCAGTACCTTCCCAGCACCACCACATCACCTATTCCCTCTTTATCCCCTCTCAATCCCCTTTTATATCCCTCCTCTCTTATATCCGAAATGACAGCCATCTTTCAATTTCAATTTCGTGCCCACAGCCCTCGTGCCATTTTCATTCTCAGTCTCGCTCTCAAGTTCAATTTTTACCGTGCCCAGCATCCAGAATCTAGCATCTAGCATCCGTCATCTGGCATCTGGCATCTGGCACCCTCATAATCCCATCCAAGCCAATCCAATCGGATCCAACCCAACACAGTCCAACCTGATCTAATTTCATCACCACGTACCTACCTACCTACCTACCTATCTACCCACGACTCAACCCTCATCTCACCCACCTCACCTCACCCACCCCTCCTCTCCTTCTCCTTCTCCTTCTCCACCTTCCATCTCACCTCATCTCACCTCATCCCTCCCATCTTATCCCATCTCATCCCATCCCATCCCATCCCATATTCCATTCCATATTCCACATCCACATCCACGATATATATATATACATACATACATACTACACCTCTCAAAGACACGACTCCTTGACTAGACTATACATATCTCTCTCTCTAGAGTTCAAAATTACTAAATGATTATTTAAACCAAAAATTCCAATTTTGAAAAAAGGAAAGGGGATCATTCTTATCTTAGAGTTCTCGCTCCCACTCCCACTCTCTTTCTCACCTCACCGCACTCCCTCATATCACTCCCTCACTCATCTCGCTCAACTACCCATCAATCTCTAACCACACAACCTATGATTCAACATTATTTCATGCCATTGCATCCCATCCCAACCCAACGTAGCCGCACATCGACTCAACTCAACTCAACTTACACGTGAGATCCGGATAAAATATCACCTACACATCTTTTCTTCTCAACAAAACCTATCTCGTAACTTTCCATCAAACCTAGTAAACATGAATTGCCAGAAGGGTCTACCATCAAATCATTGGTCGACTGTTCAACTAGTGTATTTCACACATACCAATCCACAATCATTTCACATTGCACCATGATAATATCAACTTTTTTGCTTGGTTTTATGGATTTGCTACTTTTTTTTTGTCTAATCGATTTGATGAAAAAGAGCCAGACCGTAGCCTATCAACAACCGGAAAATGACATGTAGAAGAGGTCTTCAACAAAAAAACAGGAAAAGGAAAAAGAGATGTTGGGCCATCGAGAGACACTCGCAGAGTAGCGAAAGGATGCGTGGAAGGGAAGTGACAGTCTGGTATGGTGCATTAAAGAGTCTAAAGGCAAGCAAATTGCGAGTAAGACTCCCAAAACGCTCTTTATGAAATTCGCCCTCTGCTCATCTCGTCTGCCGAAACATGCAAAACCCAATCGTAACCTCCATCGCTCGTACGCCCAGTCGACCAAACATCAACGCCATATTCGAGAATTCTCTATTCGGCAGCTGACTTCTCCTCAGCTGGTACAGCGGCCTCGGCTTCCTTGGTCTCGGCAGGTGCGGCAGCAGCGTCAGAAGCAGTTGGCTCGGCCTCTGATGAAGTCCAGAGGGTCTAATAAGTTATTTTTATTAGTGATGGGACTTTGTGTCACAAGATGTTTTAACGTACCAAGTTATCTCTCAAGAGTTGCATAATCAATGTGGAGTCTTTATAGCTCTCCTCACTGAGGGTATCAAGTTCTAAGGAATAGTTAGAGAAGTTCTATCCTTGGGTACAATGAGACTTACCAGCAATGGCATCATCGAAAGCTTGCTTGGCAAGGTGGCAGGCTTGATCTGGGGAGTTCAAGATCTCGTAATAGAATACAGAGAAGTTGAGGGCAAGACCAAGACGAATTGGGTGGGTTGGGGCAAGGTCAGTCTGGGCGACTTCGGTTGCGTTCTTGTAAGCCTCAAGGGACTTGTCGGCAGACTCCTTTCGCTTGTCACCAATGGCAAACTCAGCGAGATAACGGTGGTAATCACCCTTCCTGCAACATCATTAGCACAAGTGTTCATACAAAGTCGGTTTCCCAAGAAGCCAAGCTACATACATCTTGTGGTAAAAGACCTTGGATTCACCGCTCTTAGCGGAAGGAATCAAGTGTTTGTCCAAAACCTCGAGGATATCTTCGCAGATTTTGGCAAGCTCGGCCTCAATCTTTTGACGGTACTCCTTGATGAGAGTTACTTGGGATGAGTTGCCTTTTGACTCCTCCTTTTGTTCAATAGAGGTGACGATTCTCCATGATGCACGACGAGCACCAATGACGTTCTTGTAAGCTACAGACAAAAGGTTGCGCTCCTCGACCGAGAGTTCTTGATCTTCAGAGGCGACGGACTTCATGTTCTCAACCATCTCTGCGTTTCCATTTAGCATTTATACACCTCGGACGAATTCTCCAGATCTGCTAACCTTCATATCGCTCAGCCTGCTCGGCGAGCTTCGCGAGATAAACGGAATCTTCGTAACCCATGACTGCGATTTGTAGATCTGTTGAAAGAAGTATGTTAGTGACTGTTTGCTTGTAAAGAAAAATTGCGTTAATATCAGTATGCCCGGAAATTGGTGAATTGACAATTGCGGCTTTGCTGGTGCCCGATATAATCGGGCTGTCACCGATATTTGGTCGGACCCCTTCCGCATGCGCCAAATACCCATCTGCAAGGAGAGATATGCCAATCGATGCATTTCCACTGTGTGTGATGGACTGAAGGCAGGCGGATTTGTTGAAGCCAAAAAGCCGGCAAGTACCCCTCAGTATTCCAGAGGGGCAATGTTGAAGGCCGGAGACCCTTGAATGATTGGCAATCTACAACATGATGGAGATTTGAACCGTCGAGTCAAGTAGACATCCGTAGTAGGAGGTAGCACATACTGATTATTTGTTGACGGCGTTGGGAGACGGGTAGTAAATAAGGCGGAGGGAGAAAACAGATGACGGGATCCAAATGTTTGAGGGGGAACAAAGATCTTACCTGAGTATCTTTTTGTGTGGATGTTTGAGGAAAGAGATCTCACAAACTGAAATAGGAAGAAAAGGTAGAGAGTTATGCGACGTTGGAAATGTGTGTGTTGGTTTTGGTTCTTAGGATGGTTTTCTCGATTGGAGAAAGGGTACTAGGTAGGTAGGCAGTGAGGAAGTTACTGGAAGGACACACTAGTGCCACTTTTAGAAGATGGGAAGCGATCTGCGAAGTTGAAGGGAATGAATGAATAACTTCAAAATGCTAAAGGGGCTCGAGATGTATTATTCTAGATAATTATTAAATAATGGGAATTCTACATTTTTTTTTCTTTATGATATATAACAAAAAAGGTAATTATGTTAATCATGGGTAAGTTCTTCATAGGGGAGGGAGGGTATAAGTGAGGCAAAATGGTTGAGATTCTATTCTTTGGCTGTTGTTTTGTTCATGCGTTATGTATGTGGGTTTGATTTGGACTTTTCGAATGAAAGACAGCCATACCTATTCACAAATTCGATGTTGATTATATGTATCTCAGTATTTTCTGCTCTCCCCTTTCATTATTACAATATTGTTTGATTAGATATCTACTAAGATAAATGAGAGGGAGGGACAGGAATCCTATATACTGTATTGTCACATCTTTCAATCATTAGCCCAAGAGTAGAGGAGGTATTTTCTATGCATCTCATTGATGATTGATGGTTGATACATCAAAAGTGGTCGCCCGTCTCATGAATGTAACATGATTGATTTCATTGTGGAAGGCTTTTCTTGAGGGAATTGGCGCTCCCAAATGATTTGGACTTGAACTTGGACATGGACTTGTTGGTTGATAATTATTGTGGCAGTGCTAACTCCTGAGGTCTAAAACGCATAGACCGATCTGCCTTGGTTTCTGGAATGTCATGTAGAAGGCCGTTCACTGGCAACACAGCTATTTCAATATCATCCATCATGTCTATTAGTAGGTAGGTGTGCTTGAAGCTTTTGACAAGGCATCGATTCTGGTGATTGATGTGGTGGTGATTGATGCCAACATCCCGTTTGATTTCCTCCAGAAGCTGGTACTGTAAGTAGTGATGGGGTGAGGTCAGGTATTAATAGAATACCGAGTTCATTACCCCAAATACTGTACGAAAGTACGAAAGTAATAAACAAACAGCCGATTCAACATAGGGGTTCAATATATCGAATGTTCAGATTAATAAGACTGATTTTATAAGACATGAAGAATTAGTGAAATGGTGATGAAGCAGTTATGAGGCTCTCTAAGTAAATGTCCATCTCCATGCCACTTTTGTCATATTCCATTGTTCAGTGGGTGATTGAACATTCATCCACGATTCTACGGCCCATTCACTCCTATTTGCCTTTAAAGCAGCTCTCGGTTCTCCAATTAATATCGGCAAACAGCTGATCCATGACGATGAGCTGATATTCCCCTCATAACCTTAAATCCAAGGCATAACTAACTACGTCTTTCACAATTCACATCCAAGAATTTCCATTCATCCAAGCTTCAAGCACGTACCTGAGCTATCATCCAGCAAATCAATTCACCTGCACTCACACCATCAATTGAGCAACCCCTCAAATACATCATTCACTCTACCCTTTCTACCTCCGTAACACCCACTACGCAAACTCAAACTCAAAATAACCATCATCATCATGTATCGTCTTGCACTCAACTCAGTAATGCGACCCGCAGTCCGCACTACCATTCCACCTGCCAGAGCCTTTACCGTATCCGCACGCACTATGGGCGAGGGAGACACCGGAGCTGCTAGATTTGGCGGCCAACAGTAAGATAACTCTCCATTCCCTTTTCTTACTACTTAACTATCCTGTGCGATATTGAGATCCGTGAAGGAAAGGGTAAGGCACCCCTCGCATTCGCAGCTCCCAAAACTAACACTCATCACGCAGAGACGCCTTTACCAAACGCGAAAAGGCCAATGAGGATTACACTATCCGCCAGCGCGAGAATGAGAAACTCTTGGAGCTGAAGAAGAAAATTAATGAGCAACGTGATCACTTGAAGAAACTCGAGGACCACATGTAAGAACGCCCCTCACACTCCATTACATCTCTTTCTTCCCCTCTATTTTCCCTCCCATCCTTCACACCCATCCATCCAAAAGCTAGCTAACCTTCTCTTTTCCAGTTCCGAAATCGAGAAGCAATCTGGCGGCGAACAGAAGTAAGCATACACATACCTTTAGAAGAACTTTTAGCGTCCACACATCTATACATACCTTCATAGTCCAAATTTGAGCAGACCACCATCGTTCGATGGAATTGGTTCCTCTTTAAATGCAATCAAATATTTCACTTCTCGTTCCTCCCTTTCGTTTCTATACCTTTTTGCTATCCGCAGATTTCGAGAAAGAAGGGAATGCTAAATGCTTTGGTTCTCTACCAGCTAAATTTTGACTTGAGAATTGGCCCCAAAGAGTAATGACGGTATCCCATGTGGATATGGGTGTGAGGGGGAAGGCGGAAACGGAGCATGTCAATGGAAGGAACATGGATAGGATGAAGTTCGGATTGTGATGAGATGATGAATTTATGGTCAAATGGTCGTATGGTCGTATTAATGATGGTTTTTATTATTTGTATAACACAACCCTTTTCTCTCTGCATCCCTCATCAGACCTCCTATGTACGAAAGTCAATTTATCCCAGTTCGGAAAAAATTCATTAATCCTGTGAGCTTCGTGAATCTCTATTCTTTCTTGCTTCATGATATCTATTTTACACAATGCTCATCAAAACACTTCTGCCCCCTCCTCACCACCTTTCATTCATTCATGTATTCTCAGATTTTGAAAGCATGGATTCGTTCTCCTACCCCTCAATCCTCTATTAAAGGCTTGAAATATTCAGTCCTCGATGATCATTATCCACATATGCTCCCCTCTGGAAGGGGAAAAAAAAACGACCATCCATGCCTGAATTCGCCCATGTGTTTCCTACCGTGTCAAAACGCCCCAAACAATCGTTCAACACGCGCATACACACTTATTGTCCTCCATTTTGTCTCTTTCATCTCTCTCTATCTTCCGTTCATCTCCTGCCCATAAAAGATCTATAAAAGTGATCCGCAGCATCACCTTCCGCCCCACCAAGACCATTTGCACTCATACTTTGTCCTAGTTTATGCGCCGCCTCCACTTTATCTTGTAGTGTTTTGGAATTTTGATCAATCCATTGTAGTTGCATAAGATGTGAATTGAGAACTCGAACGATATGGGAGAGCTGTATCACAAACTTGATTAGTAAATTGCTTCTTTTGTGTATAGAGACCTTGAAGTAACTTACCGGATCATCTGACTTAGTGCTCTTGTTCAAAGTAGCAGATGCTTCATTCATAGCTTCGATCATAGTTGAAAGATCTTTACCCATCTCATCAAGTTTATCCGCCAATTTCTCAGCCATCTTGTAGGTTCTTTCACGTTCCTGATCCGGACCTTGTAAAGTTTCGACGGCGGAGCCCCTGAACATGTCTTCAACTTCTTGCTCATAACGATCAAGCCATTGTTCGAGTTCGGCCTGCTGACCCTCCACTGTTGCTAATTGTCGTTCGACTTCCGCGCTTGATCGTTCTGCCTCAAAGGTAGTGTTGTATAGCTTCTGAATCTTGTCTCCATTCTCAACCAAAAGACGATCCCACTGAGCTACCTTGTTTGCTTGTTCTTGGAATTCTTTTTGGTATTTTGACAAATCAGATGCCCATCGAGTAATGATTTCATCCATAGTTTTGTTCTTTAAACGAGATAACTCCGGTCTTGGACCAGCTGTCGAGGCTCCTAGATTTGTTGTGGATCCTGTTGCCCCAGAGCCAGTAGTTGCACCGCCTCGTTGATCCAAATTTGCGGTTGATGAAGCAGGGGCAGGAGTGCTTGTGGTAGCTGGGTCAGAAGAACCTGGAGCCGGTGGTTTAGCTGTGCCAAACAAAGTTGACGTTGTAGCCGGTGCAGGAGTGGAAGTGGTTGCGGCACCATTCGAAGCGGCGTTTCCGAAAAGAGATGGTGTTTGCCCCTGGGCAGATGGGGCGGGTGTAGATGTGGTTGCGTTAGGCTTTCCAAACAAATTGCTGGTAGTGGGAGCTGCTGGTGCAGGGGTAGTAGAAGATGGTATTCCAGGAGTTCTTGCTGCGGGAGTGGCAGAGGGGAAGCTAAAAGATGGGGCTGGCTTGGTGGCTTCTGTAGTCGCTGCGGGTGTCGAGCTGGCAGGAGGAACAGCCGAAGCAGCAGGTTTATTCCCGCCAAACAGGTTGCCGCCAAGCGCAGGAGCCTTTGCAGCACCGGCACCACCAAACAAATTGCTACTAGGAGGTGCGGCCGCGGGAGTACCACCAGAGAATAGACCAGCGGGTGTTTGCGAAGGTAGTGATGCGGCTGCAGGTGTTCCAAATATACCTCCAGTCGATTGTGGTTGAGCACCGCCGCCAAACAAGTTTCCTGTACTCGCAGCCGGTACAATGTTCGGAGGTGGTGGCCCTGCTGGGGTTGTGGATGCAAAACTGAAAGGTTTGCTTGGTGCTGGAGTTGTCGATCCTAAACTTGGGATGTTCGAAGCTGCTCCTCCAAAGATGCCTCCCGATGCAGGTTTGTTCAATGCTCCAAACATACCCCCCGTAGGAGTTGCAGCTTTATTCTCTGTTGGCGTTGAAGCACCTTCGGCCTTAGGTCCTCCAAAGCTAAAGCCTCCACCTCCGCCGCCTGTAGAAGTCGCTGCACCTGCTCCACCAAACAGTCCACCTCCCCCTGAAGTTGTGGGCGTGGTGCTGGCAGCAGGCTTTCCACCAAAACTGAAAGCAGACGCTGCATTTGGGGCATTCCCTGTGCTCTGGCCAAAGACACCTCCAGCAGCTGGCTTAGCAGCTCCTCCATTCGATGCTGCTGCCCCTCCAAACATTGGTGTCTGTCCTCCAGCTGGTTTTGGATCTCCGAAAGAACTTGCTGCTGCAGATCCACCACCGCCAAACAGAGATGATGGAGTGGCCCCAGATGTAGCTTGCGCACCTCCAAACAGCCCAGGTCCAGAGCTGTTAGGGGTATTACTAGAACTTCCACCACCAAATGCGCCTCCACCGGCACTTCCAGTACTACCGAATGCGAATCCCGACATCTTGTGGATAATTATTGTTGGATCTTTGAGAATAGGAATGTGAATCGAGGTCGAAGGAGGAAGTTTTTCGGTGTTGGTGATTGTCGATGCAGGTTGGGAGCTGATTTCCTGCGGAGAAAATCAAAAGATCAGCAATTTAATGTTGTAAAATGTGAAATTAGATAAAGTTACAGCTTCTACAATAACCGAATTGATTTAATCAGCCTTGCGCATCTCAAAGCGCGTGAAATTGAAGTCTTTTTATCTTTGTATTAGCCTTCCCAGCGCGACTCTTTGGTATCGCGCTCAATCAAAAATTAAGCGAGTGAACAACAGAATATCGGAGCTCTTGCTTATGATTGACCGACATGGGAGGAGCAGCAGTTAGTTGTCACTGTTCCCCCAAAGGCTTTTTGTTATTGACGCTCAGTTGGCATACCTAGTCAACACATTCATCCTACCTCCAAACCATCTTTGTCCGTTGATTTAACTTTATTGAAGTTATCGCTGGTATCCATCAATTATGGCTGAGGATGACCACGGAAATCTAGAACCTCCTACAAGGAGTAGCAGTATTGAGGATCCAGGCGCACATGAGCTTGAAGGTAAGACTTTCAAAATCGACTTTCAATACATGTTACACTGTCAAACGATTACATACATTGATTCTATTGTCTAACTTTTATTTGCGTAGAACCTGTTGAGTCCTCGGATTCGGACGACCATTTCTCAGATGCACATTCGGGTCTAGAACAGTCTACCGTAACCTCACCCACTGTCCCCACTACTCGAATCGAGAAAGTCGACGATGAACCAAGTTATGGAGAGGTTCCAGGCACAGAAGCATATAAAATGAGAACTGAGGATGCTGAGCCAGATCAAATTGCAATGACTCCAGAATATCGTCCCACACACTCACGACGACCTTCAACTCCGGGTGACCTACCAATCCCCACCACTGTCGTTGAGAAGATAGACCCTGATACTCCTAGCCATGGAGAAGTCCCCGGCACACCTGCATATGAGAAGCGTAAAGCAGATGCAGTTCCGGACTTGGTCTTGGATTCAACCCCTGGTCGTAGTCGTTCTAATACCCTCAATACGATGACGAGATCAAGAGCTGGCAGCACACCAGGCGATCTACCAATTCCAAAGACAGTAGTTGAAAGAGTGGACTCTGGGCCAAGTCATGGTGAGGTACCTGGTACCGCCGCTTATGAACTGCGGAAAGAGGACGCCCTTCCAGATGACATCGTAGATGTCGCCGATGTTCCTGGTATGTACAAACATGGATTTCCCAACGCTTTCAGAGTTATTGACTGAGTTAGAATCTAGCTCCCCGACCTTAAGCTCCCATCGCCGAAGCTCTTCAGCTGCAGCGGGAGAAGTCGCTGAAGAGGAATACAATGAAGAAGAGGATGGGGACGATGGGGGGTTTGGGGATGATTTCGATGATTTTGAGGATGGAGAGGAGGATGCAGAGTTTGGTGATTTTGATGATGGATTTCAAGAACCAGAGGTTTCTCCTCTCCCACAGCCAATTCCTGTAACACCTTCTTTTGTAAGTAGCCGTCTACTTTCTGTATGCAACAATATCACATTCAGTCCTAATATGAATTCGTTGTTCAGCCTCTTTTCGACTTGACAGACCTCAATGCGCCCGAGGATATTCGCTCTGCAACGGAACCCTATCTCGACCATATATTCCCCTCCGACACAATCGATACCTCAGTTCTGCCACCCCTTAATAACCTCAATCCCATATTCCTCACGCCACGATCTGCATCACTCTGGTCACAACTCGTAGCCCCGCCGCCCCTTCAACCACCCAATTGGATCAGATCCCGTATTCGTCGCCTGTTTCTCGTCAGTCTCGGTATCCCCGTTTCTCTAGACGAAATCCTCCCCGCTTCCACACAAAAGAAACTCATCCTCCCCTCCCTGTCCTTACACCCCTCATCTTCTGGTTCCCTCGACAGCTCCATAGATCGCATCAAATCCTCTTCCTCTACCTCGCTCGACTCACAGGGCAACGTCAAACCCTCTCGTTCCGAAAGCCGACGTCGAAGAGGTCCTCCACCTGCCCCTCAATTAGACCTAGTATCCGCGCGCCAAACTTGCGAGATCACAGAAGAAGCTCTAAATGGCTTAACAACGGACGAGCTAAAAGACCATGTGAAAAAACTCGAGGAAATGGAAGTCCTGGCTCAGGGTGTATTAGAATATTGGACGACGAGAACGGATGAAAAGCTGGGAGACAGGGAAGCCTTTGAGGGGGTTATTGAAAACTTGGTTAAGCATGCTCGGAAGGTTAGAAAGTGATGGTTTTTGTGATTTTTGGCAAATGGTATGCTGTGCATGCATACCATAATTAGCGTTATAACCCTTTTGAACTCTTGTTTCCCCGAGAGCGAGTCATATTTACAATGTTAGCTCAACGAATAAAAGAGAGATACCCGTCTCAGTTTTTGATTCTCACAGATATCTTGCAGGCGATATTACAATCCTGTCTACCGCTCTGCTGGCCTTGACTAAATCAATTCTCCCATCCCATCTCCTTAGGAACTCGAGTGCTTTCTCAATATACTCTACCTTTTTACAATACATCATCCCACTGGCGACCCCCTGTCACTTTCTGTCTCACTCACTTCTTACAATATCTCTAGAGTACTCGTACATATTATTACTCGGATCTGCAATGCCAAACTACACCCGATACACCCACCACATATCTTCATACTCGTATTTCATCTTATTATTACCTCCTGATAATCATGCTTATCTGCTTGTGTATACTCTACTCCCCTTGTACCTATTACCTCAGGGGTATGTGCCTATCCTCATTCATTGATATTATATATTATACCTATCCCCCCCTCTCTCACAATAATAAATTCTCTCGCACGCTTCAAATACCACTCAAACTCAAACTCAAACAGATCCTCAAAGCATTACCGCCCTTCCATCCCTAGCTTCTCTCCTCCCCGTCACCATACCCGTCCCCTCACTCTACATCCACCCCAAAACCCCTCTACCAAAGCAACATTTGCCCATATCCCAACCTCTTCTCCATAACGTCCAAAGATATATCAAATCAAATCGAATCAAACAAATTACATCAAAATCAAACAATACCATACCAGCCCATGACAGTTGTAACACCCCACCTCCATCCAAACCCCGAATCAACACTTCAACGCCTCGACACCATGACATCTCGAGACTATGACATCGCGACACCGTGACACCGTGACAAATCCATCCACAACGAATGTACAAAATTTTCAAGTTTCCGTTTCCGTTTCTTGTCAGATCCAGACAAACTCACATACACAATCACAATCACAAATCAACCAACCAACCATCAATCACAGCAACAGCTACAAGTCAAAACATCACCCATCACCAATCAATAAATATAAGAAAAGCCCTTGAATTCTTATATCCCACATATCGCATCCCGCATCTCGCCACTACTCGCAAATAAATCCAGCCCGTAAATCCTTTAAACTCATATGCCTAAGCCTGCTTGTTGATGGATGAGCCACTGCCAACTATATTTATAAGATGCCACGCCGCGCCATGCCACGCCATGCCATGCCGATTCCGAGAAAGGATCAAATCGCGAGGTAGAATAAGCATCATGCCCTCATACAAAACCCACGCAACACTCACTATATCCATGCATCCACCAAATTTTCTCAGAAAGACCCAGATACCACTAATAAACTAGTGCATATTTCTGTGGGCAGGAAAAGCAGAGAGATGGAGAGGTCATCCGTCGCGGCTATGTACTGAAAAACAAAGAAATATTGAAAAAAGAGACAAGACTACGAAGTAAACTAGATAGATAATCACGCCAAGCACACCTAAAAGCAATGCCATCCATCCCCCCTACCCGCCCCCAATCCATGCACGCAAGAGTGGCATCATGATCAATGTAGTACTGTAATGCACCAAACCATGACGCCGTCCCATTTTCGCCAAGGTATGTAACGCAGAGGTAATGTGTGAAGCTCACTGAAAAGTGTATCGATTTAATGACGTTTCGAAAAGTCGTGATTCGTAGTCGGAGCAGAAAACCAAAGAAAGAAAAAAGCTTAAAAACCACAGGAACTATATAAGTCGAGTCGTCCACCTTTATTATTGTCAATCCCATCAAAGTTGAGCAAGCGTCATCAAAGTATCCTAGATGCAGCAGGGGTACCTCGCAGTAGTGCCAAAGAAACCAAGGAAAGACCAAAGAAGCTGGATCTTAGAGGCATGAAGAGTATGCGCAAGAGACGTCCAATCTGAGAAAGACTACGCGACCTAAGAAACTTAGGAATATGGTGCTTGATTGTTAAAGCCACCATTAGCATTCTGACCGCCAGATGGTTGTTGTTGCTGTTGATGCTGCTGGTATGCAGCGTTGAAACCGTTGCCCTGTGGCTGATTCTGAGCAGCTCTGATTCGGAAACGTTAGCGAAATGACTTGCTGGTTGTGGGCGCCCCAAGAGAAAATAAAGAGTATCATTGAGAAGGCAAGAGTAAAGATGTATCTATCCGATACTTCGGAATGGCCTCGGGAATCAGAACCTGAGGATAAACACTACAATTCCAGTGATCTAAAGGCAATATATGTAAGGAAACTGATGATCGTCGGACAGCCTATAGTGCAAAACATAAGGTAACACATAACAATAAGTGCATACAACCAAGTAGGAAAAGAATGGTCTGCAAAATCAAAATAATGGATGAAGAGTACAATTGTAATCGAGCCCGCACAAGCCGCGATACACCTATGTCAAAAAAAAGTCTAAACTTTTGAGCTTTCGTGGGTAAGTCCATGATAAGAAAAGCTGCTCTAAAGCGCAAGTGCAAAGCTGCGCAAACAGATCTCATCGGCAATTAAATTCGCCAATAAAAGAAGAGAAGTAAGCAGACTAAGCAGTGAGATTACATGTGGAGAAGAAAGGGAAGAAAAAGAAAGCGAAGATCGTGGTCGCATGAAAAGTCTATGCTTATACATGGGCATCATTGGAAAACGCAGATTCCCACCCATCCGATACTTTTAAAGTAACGCTAAGAGGAGAAACAGTTATCCAGGCATTGGACGCGAAGAAGTGAAGCCCCGAAAAATAGCAAGCCCAGTGCATAAAGACGCCATGCTACACTAAACTCCATTCGTGAAAGAAGATGAATGCTTACTGCAGATTGTCAGCTTTGAAAGTGGATTGAAGATGGGTGAAACTTACCTGTACTGGTTGAAAACCTCCGTAAGGGTTATGCGGTTGTGGCATACCCATCTGCTGATAGTGAGGAGGTGGAGGGGCGGGTCTGTAAGGGGTGCCAGCTGGCCCAGAGTTGTTTTGGGATCGTCCCCAGGATAAGCGGACACGAGAATTACCAATGGGGTAGCCCTGCATCTGGTTGATGGCCATTTCGGCAGCGTGACGTTGAACAAATTGAACAAATCCGCAGCCCTTTCCAGGTGGGATCTTGACGTAGGTGATTTCGCCAAAGCCTTGGAAGAAGGATCGGAGCTCATCTTCTGTCACATATCCAGACAAACCACCAACAAATACAGTGGTATTATTTGGATCAGTGAACTGGTTCATTGGCTGAGGAGTGCCGTAATATCCTGCCATAGGTGGACCACCACCCATTCCATACATACCTGGAGCTCCTCCCATAGCTCCGGGCATACCACCACCACCACCACCACCACCACCTTGCATCTGCATGCCTGCTGGTCCAGTACCTCCGGATTTATTCTTAGGCGTGGCAGTGCTGATACGCATGGGTCTATTACCGCAATAAACGCCTTGCATTTCAGTTAGAGCGCGTTGTTGGTCTCCCTCTTCGGCGAAACGGACGAAGCCATAGCCGCGAGACATTCCAGAGATTGGGTCGGTCATAATCTTGGCTGACTTGCAAGATGGGAATCTGGCCTGGAAAAGGGAGACCAAGACGTATTCGTTGACCTCTGGGCCAAGATCACCAACAAAGATGGAAAATTCCGGGCCACGGTCGTCACTATAAATAGTCAGCAATGTATCCAGGAAAGCCCAAGGCATCGGAATAGAGGCATATGAACCGGGATTCTGACCGACGATCAGCAAGACCACCACCTGAAGCCCAGTTGAGCTTGAATGGTCGGCTGGTGTTTGGAATCATGGTGCCGTTCAAGGATAAGGCCTTTGCAGCTGCTGCGGGAGAAGAAAAGTCGATGAAGCAATAGCCTGCATTTCTAAGATGGCGGTAGATGGTTAGCTGATATTCCCCATTTCAGAATACTGTATCGATAAGAAATGCCTTACCCGGAGAATTTGTCGCGGATCATCTTCACATTGACCTGCTCGCCCATTCCGAACCAGACGCTGCGGATAAAATTCTCATCAATCCATGGCTCAAGCTCGCCCTGCCTAGTATGATGTGTTAGTAAAAAGAAAAATGAGATACAATTTCGTTGGAATATGATAATCGGTAAGAAAGTGTTTATGATGGAGTGATAATCGTGACAACGATAGAGATCGGGTCAAAAGTACGTGTAACATTGCGAGGAGTTGGCACTGTAGATGAGGCACAATTTGCAGTCGCGCACCAAGTGATTTGGCAGGATACAAGTGTGCTCGATCTACGATCGGGATAAAGAAGTGGAAGGTGGGAAGGGGATGATTCGAGTGTGAAGGTACGAGGAAAACTTGAAGCTTACCAAAGAGTGGTCTTTGCGTCTCCAGTGACGCTACCAGAGGGACCCTCGACGCCGGCACCTTGTTGCGCAAATGGAGCTGGTGATCCACCATCTCCAGTAGGCATACCACCTTGCTGCTGCTGCTGTTGCTGTTGCTGTTGTTGCTGCATTGGTGGAGGAGGCATTACGCCGTTGCCGTTATTTTGCTGCTCGTAGCCACCTTGCTGGGCTGGATCGTAAACTTGCTGTTGGAAAGACATTTCGAACGATGAAATTGTTTCAGAAGAGACGATTGAACTTAAGGAAGAACGAAGATGTAAAGGAAGCAAAGGGGTTTTGCGTTTTATTTGCAAAAGATAATAGAAAGTAAGTTGTGGTGGTGTAAGTTTGAAAGTAAGCGTTCAAGATCGAAGTCGAGGTTGAAATAGCTTCAAAAATCGGTGCGATCTAATTCACTTAAGGTTAGCTTATGGTCAACGGGCTAGAGTCACGCTAAGGTGGAGGTTATGGCAGACCCCCAGGTAAGTGTCGATGATATCACTTTCGATTATGAATCACACTCTTTCAATATGGAAAGTATAAAATAGGATGAACAAATACTTCAAATGTTAGAGAAAAGTCTTTTTAAGTTTGAATGAAAATCATATCTTGATTGGGAGTTTTGCAGAAATGAAGGTTCATTAAGAAAAATGTGAGAAACTTTCAGAAACATCCGGAATATTATACTCCTTCCCTGAACAACCAGAGAGAAACATATCATATGCTTAAATTTTCAAAAGTACAACTAAGACTTTACAACATAGAAAATTCCTTTGGGCTTCACAAAGTAAAATATTTTTCTCGACTTTGTGGTCATAATCCAATCTGTCACCATGAAACCATGACAAGAAAAGTCAACACCATTCAACAAGCTTAAGTGACGTCTACCTCAATACAATACTAATATATTGAGGCCTTTACACAACATGTTCATCTCATCATTGTCAAAAGATTCAGTGCCAATGCAGTATTATCCCCACATTCAACTACCCACCGGGGTAGTCGACACTGCTGTCACAGCTTCACAAAAATCTGCGATAGAGGTTTCCCAATGATGCTGCAGCTCTTGTCCTCGATACATCATAGTGGCACTCGCTAACTATTACGGTAGAATTCGAAAAAGAATTACACCACTCGAGCACCAGAGTCTCTCGCGAACTTCTCATAGCAACACGCTTCACAGAGGGACCCATCTCTTGAACCGCTAAGAAACGAGACACCCCGTGCTCAAAGGAAAATTTGAAACAAGATCCTCTCGAATCTAGGAGTAGGGGAATCTAGGCAATGACTTCGCTATATGGGAATGGGGGCGATGAGCGGTTGATTCAAAGGATGTAGGCTGGCAGTCATGTAACCACTCACTGTGGGACATAGAGTGATGATAGCTGGAACTTGAGCTAGGTCAGGGCCTCTTACAGCCCTTACAGAAGGTGGTATCGAACACAAATGGCGAAATTGGGCGGGGCAACAAGCCTTGCTTGATGGAATACAATAGCCCACTCCACCCGAAAGCTTCAACATCCACCACTGCGGCCAATTACTGCGAGAACTGCTCACATTGCCACGGAAACCTGTATCCAACCCACATCACTGAATATTCTTGAGTCTTCGTCATCGTAGCGAATTGTGGATAAAAGGCGACAATAGGAAATTCGGTGCATTTTCTCGACGCGCCAAATTCGAGCTCGTCCGGTTCAGGTTCATAGGGGTCTGCCATTTTTCATATTTCGAAGGGTAGAAGGCTTACCTTAAGATTCCCAAAGTAAACGGCCCAGTATATTATTTCCGGATCGTCCTACGAGATAACCGATATGTGCGATTGAAAAACAGAAGCGCTGAGCAGCGACGTTGTAATAGAAGAATTCGATTCGAAAGCTTTGAAGACAACTTTTTGCGCCTGCGAAAATTCGGGAGTGGAAGAGCTGAACTTGCTGGAGAAATCTTTTCAATAAATTCGAAACTAGCAGAAGAACAAATCAGTCAATTGCTCAACATTTGGCGTTTATGATGAATGATCGGGTTGATGAAGGGGCAATGGAAACTCTTAAGCGTAAGAGAGCTTGGTTGGATTATTTTCGCATGTTTGCAACAACAGGTAGTACCAAGGCTAGTTGCCAAGGTCAAACATTTGCGCCAGGATCAACAGCAAAGCTACATCCCACAATGCCGAACCCCCATAATCATATGCGACAATAAGCTGGTCAATTGCAACAAAGAACTCCAAGTACTGACACAATGAAAGGGAGAAGTTGTGGTTAGGTGCAATGAGGGGTCAGGTTGGAGGGGGGTTTGAAGCTGTATGAGCGACCAGTAAGGCGCAGGGACAGAAAAATGAACTACTCACATCTTTTGATTAACTGGATTAACAATTGCTTTGGAAAAACTTCAAATTCCGATAGGAAACCTTTAACTCAGAGAAAGGATGATCGAGTATCAACAGGAACAATTGACGCAACTAAGCAGCGCAGTAATTGAGTAAGGTCAACAAAGGACAAAAAGGGTGGTCGGTGGATGAGAAGATGTTTATGTTTTTTTTGGGGGGAAGGAATTAATATTGTGGGAGGGAAGGGAAGAGAAATTTAATAAGTACTTGTATGAGTAAGTGAGAAATTGAGAAATTGAAAGAAGGAGGGGACGTGATCAGGTAAGGAATGGAAATGGACCGTCTTCTTTTTTTTTTGGCGCTTGAGTTAGTGTGGCCACTGGCCAGTATTGTATTAAGAAAAAAATAGGCGTCAGAGGAAAATAGACATTTTTTAGTGTGTGTTTTTTTTTTGTGGTTTTAGTATATTTTTGGTATGCTTTGTTTGGTTTACTGAGTTTGTATTAAATGGATAATTGACTAGGAACTAGGTTCGAATTTGATAAATAACTCAAATCTCGAAGATCTTTCTATTATTTTTATTATAAAGTATATATACTCGAGTACTTGAGTATAAATATATAGATATAGATATATACTTATATACTTTTTATATATAATCCAAAGTATCTATATCTATATCTCAAATTTTAGATAATATAGCTTCAGATAGAATCAATGTTAGTATGGGATATTATTTCAGATGCACCTGCATAAAAGAGAGCTTCAGGTGAAAGTAGTACTACCTAAACTACTATTATAGAACAAAGTAACCTTCCGCCTTGTTTATTCGGGGCCATGTACTACAGGGTATCCATTAAGCTATAGCTAGGTAAAAAAGAATCGGGATGAATAATGTATGCACATTGGGAATTCAAGGTTAATTTAGTCTTTCTGCATATAAGTCGATCACCCCGTCGGCATCTCATTCTATCTACTTACCAAGGTAGTAAGTAAGTAGTCTATTATTCATCGTTAAGACTTCATGCATCGATAATTACTTAACGAAATCACTGAACAGTATGGATAGTATCAGTACTGAACCAAATTAACTAATGCCAGATCAACAAACTCATTCCTTGAATCACAGCACAAGAACTAGGACGGGCTCCATAATCAAACTCTTAGGGATGGGTATCAGTACTGAGCCAAGTTAGCTGATGCCAGATTTAACAAACTCATTCCTTGACTCACAGCACAGAACTAGGACGGCTCCATGATCAAACTTTTTAGTGATGGGTACCGATGAGTTTGATGGGATGAACTGCGTCACTCCGAAGACGAAACATTGTCACAGGAAGCAGGAAGAGTAGGTATGAAGCTAACAAATACCTAGTATACTTGGTTTTGGCCACGCCGATGAGGAGTTTGCTATTATGGAAAACAGAGAGTATCTAATCTAATATACTTGGTTTTGGCCACGCCGATAAGGAGTTTGCTACTATGGACAACAGAGAGTAGGTATGAAGCTAACATATACCTACCTAATATGCTTGGTTTTGGCCACGCCGATGAGGGGGCTGCTGTTATGGAAAACAGAGAAAGGTAAGGCGCTTATCTTTTTCGGGGGTGGATTTTCCATCAAGATATTTGAATACCTAGGTATATAGGTACAATTACTCGAGTTACAAGAGTTATACAAGCTCACACCCAGAGCTTGAGTTAGGTTTATATTGAATAGGCATTTATTACTGGACTACAAGCGCTCGCTTTGCCCTAGGATATATGTATGTGAGCTTGGTGGTCCGATCCTCCACTAGTTGGTATATTTGAATGCAGACGACCAGACCAGACAAGCATACGGGACATCACGGCATATCAAGCAAGCTATTAAATTGGATGAAGGGGGAAAAAAAACTGAAGTGATGTGTGACCACTGTGACGGCATCCATCACGATCAATCACTAAACTCAGTTCCCCCTCGCAATCTTGGATCCATAAAATAAATGACTAGGTCGAATCAATGAAGAATCCAAGGTGTAGAGGATACGAGTACCTAGGTATGTATTCGAGTACCGGGCTGGTACCCATATCAAAATAGTTGCCAAGGCTCAAGATTGCTCAATACCTAGGTAGGTAGGTTAGTTATCTCCTCTCCAATTACAAGTAACCAATAGCACTACGGGTAGGAAAAAGAGGCGATAATTTAAGTGTTCGGTTGAGGGGGATACCCGATATCGGTATACACATTGATTGATATTGGAGTAGTCAGTCTGCTTCTTCTTAAAAGAAACATAACACCAGAAACCTAACCCGGGATTCCAACTACTCAATAAGGTAATCATCTTCAGCCCAATTTACTGGGTATAGTTCTTTTGGGTAGGCTTGTTCCTTACATTAATTGTTTTGATCCCTAATTATATCAAAATCTTTTTTTCTTTTTTTTTCTTTTTTTTTGAAGAAAAAGTAATCTTGATTCCAATAGAAATTATACTTTCTTACTTGAGCTACGGTCTAGGCTGGTCCTGTCTGTCTTTTGATTCTCTCCTCTTGAACTTGAATTTGGAGAATAGAAACAAAGAGAATCTATTTTCCTCAATATGTGTTCAACAAGGAAAAGCATTTACATACTCAAGTATAGATTTGATATTCTCGATTGAAAGCCAAGGGTTGAAACAACAATGCCCCTACATTCACAACTCTCTTCAACAGAATCCAGATAGATCTACAAGACAAGAAAACCTTATTTATTAGCATGCCCTTCATCCGATGATGATGATTAATGTGTACCTAGGTAACCTCGTCAAATTTTAGCTTTAATTTTCCATTTTCCATCCATTACGATTTAGTTGTCACTTAATCATTTAATAATCTTATATAGCTGTCTATTGTTATCCTTAAAGAGCCTGCAGAAGAATC